AGAATAAATCAGACCTTCTGGGCTACGGACATAATCCGGCAACGCACGCAGGGAGGCATCATCTTCAGCAGTAAAAGCAGAAACATATTTCTGGACCCAGGCCCCCCCCCCCCCTAGGGAAAAGGGAAGGCGAAGTCTCATCAGAGCGAGGAATTGAGCGCGCTTGCGCGCGGGTGACAACAGCCCCCCCCAGGTGGGAGGGGGAGAAAACAGAGTCCATGATGACCTCACGCTGACTGTCATGCTGTGGGAGGCGTGAGAGCGCGTCTGCCAGGGAATTAGCCGTCCCAGGAAAATGACGAAGAGTGAATCGAAACTTAGCAAAGAAGTCCGCCCAACGAAGTTGTTTTGCGTTTAGAGAACGGGGGGATTTCAGCATTTCCAGATTTTTATGGTCAGTCCAGACTTCAAATGGCAGTTGAGCCCCCTCCAACCACTGCCTCCAAGTGGAGAGAGCCAGCCGGATAGCCGACGCCTCCTTCTCCCAAATCCCCCAGTTTCGTTCAGCGTCAGAAAATTTTTTAGACACAAATGCAAGGGGGTGTAAACGACCATCTTCCCCTTCTTGCAAAATAGCGGCCCCCATTGCCACATCCGAGGCATCAGTCTGGACAATGAATTTTTTAGTTTCATCAGGGCGCGCCAGCACGGGCTCAGACGTGAACATACGTTTAAGTTTCTCAAAAGCCTCCGCGCAAGCAGGGGACCATTTAAGTGGGGCGCCTGGTTTGGTAGCATCAAACCCCTTTCCCTTGGTTTTTAGCAAATCGGTTAGAGGAAGGGCAATTTGAGCGAAATTTTGGATGAAATTTCTGTAAAAATTGGCGAATCCGAGGAACATTTGCAATTGTTTGCGGGTTCTGGGGGGTTCCCAGTCAAGCACAGCCTGTATTTTAGCAGGGTCCATTTCCACCTTCCCCCCGGAGATGCGATAACCCAAAAAGTCAATGCATGTCTTGTGGAATTCACATTTCGACAGCTTTGCAAACAGGTTGTGTTCATAAAGCCGCGTAAGGACCTGGCGTACCAATTTAATATGCGACGGGAGGTCCTGAGAGTACAGTAACACGTCATCAAGGTAAAGGACCACTCCTTTGAACAAAAATTCATGTAGGACCTCATTGATTAAGTTCATGAAGACCCCCGGGGCCCCTTGAAGCCCGAAGGGCATAACGAGGTATTCAAACTGCCCCAAGGGGGTATTAAACGCAGTCTTACTTTCGTCCCCCTCCCTAATGCGCACTCGGAAATATGCATCCCGTAGGTCAAGTTTCGAGAAGATTTTGCCTTTGGTGGCCTCTGCTACCAAGTCCTTGATTAGCGGGAGGGGGTAGGCATTGGACAAAGAAACAGCGTTCAAACCCCTATAATCCGTGCACAATCTGAGCCCCCCGTCTTTCTTCTTTCGGAAGAGTACCGGCGCGGCGAAAGGGGAGGAAGCCGGGCGAATGAAACCGCGGGCCAAGTTTTTATCAATAAAATTCCGCAGTTCAACTTTCTCAGCCGGCCCCATCGCATAGATTTTACCTTTAGGCAATTTACAATCCGGCAAGAGTTCAATAGCACAGTCTGTAGAGCGATGGGGCCGGCTGAGAAAGTTGAACTGCGGAATTTTATTCTAACAATATGTTGGATCCCCAAGCATCGAGAATAAATCCACGTTTTCAAGAAAAGCAAAATTTATTTCAAAGCGTTGAAGACATACTCAAACACGTTCTTTGTTAGAACTGGGGATACACAGGCAGGTCAAGCATAATAAAGGAAATTCAAACAGATACACATCCAATGAATAATATTCCCGCTGGCGGGTTAATGAAACGGTTGCGCGCCCAGTCTATGGGAACCAGGCAGAATATAAGACAAAACACAGGTGCAGTTCTCATGAGATAAGCAATAGGCAAGCATTACAGCATCTTCTCCCCCACACAACCTCCAGTAGTTATCTTATGCATTCCAGCACAGGAGCAGGATGGTAGAAACAAGCCGGGTGCAGCAGGGTGAGGATATGTACACAGAGGTCACACAAAACACAATGGCAGCATGCTGACACTATGCGAGAAATATAAATATTTTTCCTGTTTTTTTTTCTTGTTCTGCTTGATTCACTTTGCAATATTTATTGCTGGGTTAATTTATTTTGATTTTGTTCATTGCGGGGGAAAGTAATTAACTATGTGTGAAAAACGTAAATGGCAGTAGATTTACAAGGGGGAGAAATGCTTAGGAAAGTAATACGCTTTTCGTTTTGAAATTTCGTCTGCCGGGAGGCTTGCTGTGGGGTGGGAAACTTCAGAATGAGGGCACCACCACAGAAAAGGTCCTGTCTCTGCACATCTGGAGGAAAAGATCTTCTGTAGAGGCCGTTACCTTTTGTGAAGGTAGCATTCCTGGTAGCATCAAAGTGTGCCTTTGGTTTCCTAGGTACCGATCTCCGGCTTTCCATGTCCAGTCTTGGTACGATGAAGTTAAGGACTATACATACCCATATGCTCATGAATGTAATCCGTGGTGCCCAGAGAAATGCACAGGACCGATGTGTACTCATTACACGCAGGTAAGGGACATCCAGTTGTGCTGGAACTTGTAGCCTCTTGTCCAAGTCTTGGTTGTGTTGGTAGATGCATACCTACACATGAAGCTGCTTCAGATTGATTCAGTCCCTTGGTCCATCAAGGCCAATATTGTCTACTCAGACTGGCAGCAGCTCTCTAGGGTCTCAGGCAGAGGTCTTCCACATCACCTACTGCCTGGCCCTTTTAACTGGAGATGCCGGGGATTGAACCGGGGACCTTCTGCATGCCAAACAGATGCTCTACCACTGTGCTACAGCCCCTCCCCTTAAAAAAAATAGTGATAACTGCTATGAATCTTTTACAAATGGTGTCATCTTCTATCACACTGGAGTCCATTTCAGAGTGAGCCTTCTTGGTCACAGCTCCCAGGTATGGAACCTATTTCTAAGCCTGGTCATAAAGTCCCATTTGTTTGTTCCAACCTTTGTGGTCTGAACTACATGTAAGAGCATTAATGAATTTCACAGTTCCCTAGTTTTGAATTTAAAAGTCTTGCTCCGCTCACACAAGGTAGAAAAGAGCAGGTAGAGAAAGAGGTACTTTTCTCCCTTTCTCACAATACAACAACTTGTGGGCACTGCATGAAATTGCTGAGCGGTCGGGTTAGAACGGTTAGAACGGATAAAAGGAAGTACTTCTTCACCCAAAGAGTGATTAACACTTGGAATTCACTGCCACAGGAAGTGGTGGCGGCTACAAGCATGGACGGCTTCAAAAGGGAATTAGATAAGCATATGGAGCAGAGGTCCATCAGTGGCTATTAGCCACAAGGTATAGATAGGGACTCTGGGGCAAGTGATGCTCTGTCATCTTGGTGCTTGGGGGGGGGTCAACAGTGGGAGGGCTTCTAATGTCCTGGCCCCAGTGGTGGACCTCCTGATGGCACTGGTATTTCTGGCCACTGTGTGATACAGAGTGTTGGACTGGATGGGCCTTTGGCCTGATCCAACATTGGCATCTCTTATGTTCTTATGTAGAAGCAAAACCAACACTGGGATTCTCCTTTTCTCCTCCTTTAGTGTTCCTGCGTGGAGAACTTCTGCATTAAATTGACATGAATTGTGAGGTTCTTTTTGCAACGGTCACAAATAATGTAGAAATGGGGGTAGAAATGGCAATGGAAGTGGGTGAAACAAAGGATTGCTATACCATCTGAACACAAAAATACAGGGAAAAAGGTCTACTTCATAGAATCATAGAGTTGGAAGGTACCTCCAGGGTCATCTAGTCCAAACCTAGGGTCATCTAGCCTGATCATGTCAGATCTCAGACACTAAGCAGGCTTAGCCCTGGTTAGTCCTTGGATGGGAGTCCACCAAGAAAGTCCAGAGTTGTTACACAGAGGCAGGCAATGGCCAACCACTTCTGAACCTCTCTTGCCTTGAAAACCCTACGGGGTCCCCATAAGCCAACTGCGACTTAACAACACTTTCCACCCCCCACCAACCCCACGTTGCCTGTCAATTACTGCTTGCTGACAGTGGGCAGGACGCCATGGATCTGTTCCACTAATGGTGACACTTTCCACTGGCACAAGGAGACTTCCATGGTTGGAAGAGCCTCTTGTGCTGGCGGAAGCCACCAAAAGAAAACACCATCTCCAGTAGAGCAGATGTGCAGGTTCTGTCTCAGGTTTGATTTGTGTGGATGATTTTACTTTTTCATTATGTCACACCGGGTGTCGTCCCCTGTTGCGGGAGGAGCTTCTGCCGTGACTGTGACGTTCCCTCAGGAGAAGCCAGAGCCTCAGACTTGAAGTGGGGAGGGAGTTGCGTCCCTCCCTTTCCACCACCCCTCGGGGTTGACAGCCGTCTCCGATCCTCGTGCTCTCTCTGTACCTAAGCCCGTCACCTCCGAAACCCTCCCTGGCTCTATTGGCTTCTCCCTTTTTATATCCCTCCACCCGGGGCAAGTCCTCCCCTTTTCTTCCCTGGATCCTGATAGGGTGGTTTCCCTGTCACTTCTCCCCCTATTGGAGGGAAGTCCTTCTGTCCCACCCCCCTGACTGGTCTGCCTGGGCGTCCCCGAGGGTGGGGCTGTTTCTGGGGAATCTCGGGGCTCCGCGTGCGCCCGGACGAGCGCATCGGCTCCTGGCTGTTAGGGTAAGCCCCGTCTCCCCCGGCCCTCCTTTACTCGCGCCCGCCCCCCTGTTTTCCAGGCTTCCCGGGAGAGCTCTCCTTCGCCTGAGCCTTTCCCCGGGGTGACGTCCATCTCTACCCCTTCGGAACTGCTCTCCGAGGGGTCTTCGCTCTCCGGGGCTTGTAGAGGCTTTGGCGCGGGTCATTCTAGTGACACATTATATTCTTGTAACTCGTGTCCACATGAAGCTGCCTTATGCCGCATCAGCCCATCAGTCCATTAAGCTCAGTATTGTTTATTCAGACTGGTAGCAGCCTTCCAAGGTCTCAGGTGGAGATCTTTCACATCACCTGCTGCTTAACTGGAGATGCCAAGGAATGCACTTTTGTTGAAAAGTAGCTATGAGATCTGCTAAATGGAGACCTAATACTCAATAGATGTTGTTCTGTATAAGAGAACTTGGGCCATTCTGGTGACCCTCTAATGCCCACGTTTCTTGCACAGATTGTTTGGGCCACCACCAATAAGGTCGGCTGTGCTGTGAACGTCTGCAAGAGGATGAATGTCTGGGGTGAGACCTGGGAGAACGCCGTCTACCTGGTCTGCAATTATTCTCCCAAGTAAGTTCAGCAAGGCCAAGATGGCAGGGTCTGAATTCTGTGCCTTCTCAAAAGCAATTGAACGGAGTTTGCAGTGGAACTTCCAGGATGCATCGGAACTCTGAGTACCAACTTCTTCAAGACAACGAGGCCTATGTTTGTAGCCTGAACCTATCAGGAGCTTGCTTGTTCATATTTGTTGATGATCCAATCAGCATACCATGAACAAGAATGTTCCTGATTGGCTCAGGGTAGACCTTGTCAGCGTCCTAACAAATGAGGATGAGATCCAAAGCTTCTGTTCCACCAGTGGTGGAGCTTTCCTCCCAGGCAAAGAGCCTTTCTCCTGTGGAATGTTCCTCTTGGCCTAGGTGATGACTCCACTTCTAATGGAACAGAACCTTTGGATCCAACCCAAAGATTGGTGCTGGGTGGTTTCTAGTCCCCGGGGCAAGTGAGGAAAACATGAGGAAAACACCGTGTGAAATTAAAATTCCCAGACATTTGCAAATAGTCCGGCATACACACCACAGCAAGTATTTTGGATATGTCAGAAGACTCTTGCAAACTTTCCAAACTGAAATTGACCATGTTGCTGAGAGAAGACCTTCCAGGTCTGGCTGGTTTCTCCAGCCACCTCGAATGATGTTATGAGGGAAAGCAGCAGAGAGTATCTTGGGTAAAGATTTGATCAGACATGCATGACAGGAATCCATGGCAAAACCTAGTCAGGAATATGTAAAAGAGCTAATGTTCTTAGCTTCCTCGGTTTGCCAAGTTATCGGTCGAGTTCCATAGGAAGGAGCCATCTTTTCCCCACGTTTGCAGGCATCAATCAAAACTCAACAACAGTGGCCATGCTCAGGTTCTCCACAGCTTCACGGTACTTAGAAGCCTCAGGAGGGTAAAGACTTGGACAGTCGGTCTAGAAAAATCTAGTGGCATTATTGTAGGGTGTATGTTGCATGCCAAATAGGCAAAGCTTGAAAGGGTGAAATAAGGAATATTTCTTGCACATCTTCCAGGGGGAACTGGATCGGAGAAGCGCCATACAAACATGGCAGACCTTGCTCTGAATGTCCGCCTAGCTACGGAGGAGGATGCCAGAATGACCTGTGCCACAAAGGTATTGATCCATTCGTTTCCTTGTGCGTTTTACAGAATTTATATCTCACCTTTCTGTCTTCATCAGGGCCCCCAAGGCAGATGGCAAATCAAAGCACGTATACTAATTTTTTAAAAGAAAAAAAGAATCACGCATATACATTTAGGGTTTATTTACTTTATTTATTTATATTTTCGATTTATATTCCGCCCTCCCCACATGGACGTTGAAGTTACCCAAGACTATCAGTCTAGGGTGCCCCAACGCCCAGCCCAATACGGCCTCGACCAGGGATGACAGGCTGTTGGCTGGCGCATTGGGCGGTTGGTACACTAGCCAGATAGCCAAACTCTCCCTGGCTTCCCACACAAAGCCAGCACACTCTGTGCCCATGAGTCTCAACGCCAGGAGCACCCCAAAGGAGTAAGCCTCCCGGATGAATAGAACCACTCCTCTCCCCCCCCCCGCCCCTTAGTCCGTGACTGGTGGAGGACCGAGAACCCAGGCGGAACCATTTGGGAGAGCGCTATGGTCTCCCCATCCCACACCCAAGTCTCAGTCATGCACGCCAACTTTGGGTTGGAAGATTCCTGGAGATTTGTGGGTGGGGCCTGGGGAGGGTGGAGTTAGGGGAGGGGATGTGATGTAATAGGGACTGCCTTCCAAAGCTGCAATTTTCTCCGGGGGAACTGATCTCTGTTGTCTGGAGTTATAACTCCAGGGAAACTCCAGCTCCCACCTGGAGGTTGACAACCCTACATTCCAGTAGTTCTATATTCTTCTTTTGGTAGGGGTTTGTGAAGAAGAAGAGTATGATTTGGGTCCTTTTATTAATTTATTTATTGCCCAATCCCTGCGGTTGGCATCTGTAACATCAAAAGTAAATATTGCTATGTGAGGAAACCAACCTGAGAAGTTTCCATGCGTTTCTTTTTTTATATATAATATATTTATTGGATTTTCCATTACAATATAATAACATCACTTAACAATCTCCAAAATTATAAAGTTAAACAACACATAAATCTCAAACACCTAAATTTGGTTTTTGATATTATACAATTCTATTACGCTTTTATCTTAAACTTTATCCTAATATGGCTAGCCTAGTTCCCATTAATTTCTATCTTCTTTATCTTCAGCCAGTTATATATTACTCCCCATTTTCCCCAGTATTTTTCTTCCGGTCTGTATTGTAGTTCTATATTTACTCTATCCATTTCCGCTACTTCCAGTATCTTATATTTTAATTCCTTTATAGAGGGCAAAATGTTCGTTTTCCACCTTTTTGCTCTCAAGATTCTTGCCGCGGTTAGTATATATATAATTATCTGCTTATGCTTTTTTATTGTGTCCGGAATCATATTTAAAAGATATATCTCTGGTAGTAGTGGTAATTTAATTTTTAAATTTTTTGTTAATATTGCTTGCAGTTTTTTCCAGAAACTCTGAACCTTGTCACATTTCCACCAAATATGCATGAATGTCCCTACATTCTTCCTACATCTACAAGTTTGGTGTCGTGGTTAAGTGTGCGGACTCTAATCTGGGAGAACTGGGTTTGATTCCCCACTCCTCCACTTGCACCTGCTGATGTGACCTTGGGTCAGTCACAAGCTCTGGCACAGCTGTCCTTGAAAAAGTTTGTGTCAGAGCTCTCTCAGCCCCACCCACCTCACAGGGTGCCTGTTGTGGGGAGGGGAAAGGAAAAGAGTTTGTAAGCCGCTCTGAGACTCTGAGTGAAGGGCGGGGTATAAATCCAATCTCTTCTTCTTCTTTTTATTAGTAGCTACTAATAAATGTAAAAGGAGCTGCGGTGGCTCAAGTGGTTAAGACACTGAACTGCAGGCTGTGGAAGGTCAGTAGTTCAGCAGTTCAAGACCCGGGTGCCGCAAGACAGGGTGAGCTCCTGTCTCTAGTTCCAGCTCCTGCCAACCCAGCAGTTCGAAAGCAAGAAATTGCAAGTAGATAAATAGGCACCACTTCGGTGGGAAGGTAACAGCGTTCCGTGCGCCTTGGTGTTTAGTCATGCCGGCCACATGACCACGGAAATGTCTTCAGACAGCGCTGGCTCTTTGGCTTTGAAATGGAGATGAGCACCGCAACCCTAGAGTCGGATTCGACTGGCTTTCGAGCAAGGGAACCTTTACCTTTACCTTTACTAATAAATGTAGTTCCCATGCATTTCAACAGGAAATGCGCTGATGTGTATAACTCCTCCCTGCAGCCAACAGAGAGGGAATTATCCAGGACTGGGCTCCTCATTCCAGAAATGGCCTTGGGTGTTTTCTCGCCTATGGCAGCTGATGACGGGGTTCAGAGGCAGAGATGTGCTGGGACACTGAGACCCGTATGAGGGGCCGTGGCTCAGTGGCAGAGCATCTGCTTGGTACGCAGAAGGTCCCAGGTTCAATCCCTGGCATCTCCAGTTAAAAGGATCGGGTGGGAGGTGACGTGAAAGGCCTCTCTGCTTGAGACCCTGGAGAGCCACTGCCGGTCTGAGTGGGCAATACTGACCTTATGGACAAAAAGGTCTGATTCAGTATAGGGCAGATTCATGTCTGTCCGTGAGTGATCCCACGGGGGACAGAACAGGAAATGAAGTGTGGGGTGGCTGGTTTTCACGGCAGCCACATATGTAATACCACATGTAGTTTTCGCTAAACTGGAACTAATAGAGACTGGCAAATGTCCCATATGCTGAGTGAGTGGGAGCTATCTCACAGTTTTTTTAGCCTCCGGCTCACACATTTTTGCCTTAGCTCAGGAAGGATGTGGCTCCGGAGCAAACGAATTGATGCAGCAGCCAAATCGCTCGCTCACAACTTCAATGCACGTAGCAAACAAAGTAGAATCTTCGCTCACAAGACTCCACAGCTTAGAGAGAGCATTGGACATGATGCTTAAAAAGATGACCTCTGAGATGTGACACCCCCCCTAAATTGGAAGGGGGGGGGAATGATGTTATGGGCAAGATTCCTCTTAGGAAAGAGGCAGAGCTATTCAGAACTACTTGCCATGAGAGACAGATGGAAGCTGTCTTATACTGAATCAGACCACTGGTCCTTCAAAATCACTACTGTCCACTCAGACTAGGAGAGGTCTTTCACATCACCTACTACCACATCCTTTCAACTAGAGATGCCAGTAATTGAACATGGGAGCCAGTTTGGTGTCGTGGTTAAGTGCATGGACTTTAATCTGGGAGAACCAGATTTTACTCCCCCATTCCTCCACTTGCACCTGCTGGATGACCTTGGGCATAGTTCTGGCACAGCTGTTCTTGAAAAAGAGCAGTTTCAGAGCTCTCTCAGCCCCACCTACCTCACAGGGTGTCTATTGTGGGGAGGAAACCCACTCTGAGACTCCTTTGGGTAGGGAAGGGCGGAGTATAAATCCAATCTCCTTCTCTTCTTCTTCTTCTTCTTCTTCTTCTTCTTCTTCTTCTTCTTCTTCTTCTTCTTCTTCTTCTTCTTCTTCTTCTTCTTCTTCTTGAAAGAGCAGTTTCTGTCAGAGCTCTCTCAGCCCCACCTACCTCACAGGGTGTCTGTTGTGGGGAGGGGGAGGGAAAGGAGTTTGTAAGCCGCTCTGAGACTCCTTTGGGTACTGAAAGGCGGGGTATAAATCCAATCTCCCTCCTCCTCCTCCTCCTCCTCCTCTTCTTCTTCTTGAAAAAGCAGTTTCTGTCAGAGCTCTCTCAGCCTCACCTAACTCACTGGGTGTCTGTGGTGGGGAGGGGAAGGGAAAGGAGTTTGTAAGCCGCTCTGAGACTCCTTTGGGTAGTGAAGGGCGGGGTATAAATCCAGTCTCTTCCTCTTCTTCTTTTATATGCCAAGCAGATGCTCTACCGCTGAGCCACGGCCCCTCCCAGATTAGACAGACCTCTGGATGAATCCCTGCGGTATTTTGATGTCCGGTTCTTGTTTCCTGGGGCTGGCCCAAGCCAGGAATGGCCTACTTCCCTCCCTATTTACTTTATATCTCAAACTTTCAACTAGACATGGATTTCTGTGTAATGGAACCACATCTTTAATTTGCTGAAATCAATTACACACCCACTCTCCAGCCCAGTCGCCTGCTCTCTGCATCCTTGACCTTAAATATTGCCTTGTTTCTCTTTTGCAAAGACGACCGTTATGTACAAAAGCCGGAGGTGGAGGAGACCAACGAGGTGGAGCTGTCCCAAGTGACGGAGGACAAACACGTGTGGGTGCAGGAGAAGGTGACCAAACCTGCCAAGGAGGGGAAACCATCTGCCACAACCTACATGAGTAAGAGAGCATCTCTGTCTCCCGAGATCTGGGATGGTTTGGGTTTTCCTCTGCAAAGAGATCGTTGAATAGCGGCCTACATACCTTTTGGCACTGCTCAAGGCACTATGGTCAAGCAGCTGGTACTATTGAAAGACTCTCGGGCGGTGTGGATGGAAGCCATGTGTGTGGCGTGGGTCTTGAGGCCGATGCATCAAAAGGACAACTGGCACCAGACCTGGATCTTCTTGGCGTCCATATTTAAAGAAGGGCACAGGTTTCTACCATTTAATGGCTGTGGAAAAAAACACCTTGGCTCAAGTGTATGTGCTGTTATATTTAGCACATGGAAGATCCCAGGTTCAGTTCTGGGCATCTCCAGCTACAGGGTTTTAGCTCATGGGTATAGTGTAGACCTGCGGTGGCTCAAGTGGTTAAGACGCTGAACTGCAGGCTGTGGAAGGTCAGTAGTTCAGCAGTTCGAGACCCGGGTGCCGCAAGACAGAGTGAGCTCCCGTCTCTAGTTCCAGCTCCTGCCAACCTAGCAGTTCGAAAGCAAGAAATTGCAAGTAGATAAGTAGGTACCACTTTGGTGGGAAGGTAACAGCGTTCCGTGCGCCTTGGTGTTTAGTCACGCCGGCCACATGACCACGGAAACGTCTTCGGACAGCGCTGGCTCTTCGGCTTTGAAATGGAGATGAGCACCGCAACCCTAGAGTCGGACTCGACTGGCTTTCGAGCAAGGGAACCTTTACCTTTACTATAGTGTAGGAGGAGCCAGTAAGGTGTGGTGGTTAGAGTTTCGGGCCAGGAGCAGAGAGACCTGGGTTCAAATTCTCACTTGGTTGTGAAGCTCACTGGGTGACTGGGGGTGAGTCAGATGCTGTCCGCCTAGCTGGGTGGTTCTGAAGGAAGAGTGAAAGAGGACCACTCCCTTTGCGCCCTGTGCCCCTTGGCAAAAAGGAAGGATGTACACGAGACGGGGAAGCATCAGGAAATTGCTTTAGTGAAGACCTTGGAGATGTCCTGCTGCAGCTGCTTTGCATGTAGAAAGCCTCTTTACTTCTCAAGGATCCCAGAGAACGAGTTATGAGAGAGATCTTTCTCTGCCTGAGACACAATGTTGGGCTTACCATCTTCCCAGGGGCAGCAGGCCCCACTGCGCCTCTTAGCTCCAGACGGAGCAAGGGGCTTGGGGTGGGGAGGAAAGTTGCACAAGAATGCACAATGGTGTGATGTCAGTTCCGTTTTGTACCCAGAAGTAACGTCTCAGCGCTTTAGGAATCTGTCTGTCTCTATGGTAAAAAAAAACCCATAAAGAGGGATGAATTCCTAGAATGTTATGACATCACTTCTGGGGGGAAACTGCTCCCTGTTCCCAAAAGGGTCCTGCTGGTTGACAGCACTCTGCCAGCAACCCTAAGCAATACTGAGCTAGATGGGGCCAGTGGTCTGACCGCCCAGGCTAGCCAGATCCCGTCAGATCTCAGAAGCTAAGCAGGGTCGGCCCTAGATAGGATTTGGAAGGGCGACCTCCAAGGAATACCAGGGGTGTGACGCAGAGGCAGGCAATCGCAAGCCACCTCGGAAATGTCTCTTGCCTTAAAAACAACTCTAGCTCGCCACCTAGTGGTGCATAACGCTAAAAGAGCTAGAACTTCTAGCTGCCAGACAATCTTAGGCTCTCCTGGCTATACTACACACACAGCCATACGATAATTAATTAATTAGTGGTCTGACTAGATAGAAGACTGCTTCCTGTGTTTGTAGTGAGAGAGCCCATGCTTCCTATGCAAAGGTGCCAGTCTTTCTTCCTGGGATCACCCAGTCAAGGACCTTCAGTTAACTGGTGTTAGGGAAGACCTTTGCTCAGAGATCGTGGAATGCTACTGGTAAGCCATACCGAGTGAGGTGAACTCGGTGTCTGATTGGGTGCAGCATCTTACGTTCCTCGGCTCATACGTGCATATCCTCCTTGTTTTCCAGCACAAGCCATCAAGTGTGAGACCAAAATGAGAGACAGATGCAAAGGATCCACCTGTAACAGGTAGCCGGGCTCCTCCCCTTTCTGAAGTTATTCCTATTTCACTCTGGGTTGCCAGCTCCAGATAGAGGAATTCATAGAGATTTGGGGGTGGACCCTAGGAAGGGCGTGGTTTGGGGAGGGGAGGGGCCTCAGCAGGGTATAATGCCACAGAGTCCACCCTCCAAAGCAGCCATTGTCTCCAAAGGAACTGATCTCTGTCAACTGTAATTGTAATTCCAGGAGATCTCCAGGCCCCACCTGGAGGATTGGCTACCTAAATTTTACTGGTCAAACAGGCCTTGGCCTTTGGTTTGGTGTAGTGGTTAAGTGCGCGGACTCTAATCTGGGAGAACCGGGTTTGATTCCCCACTCCTCCACTTGCACCTGGCTGGATGACCTTGGGCAAGTCATAGTTCTGTCAGAGCTGTTCTCGAAAAAGGGCAGTTTCTGTCAGAGCTCTCTCAGCCCCGCCTACCTCACAGGGTGTGTCTGTTGTGGGGAGGGGAAGGGAAAAGAGATTGGAAGCCGCTCTGAGACTCCCTTAGGTAGTGAAGGGTGGGGTATAAATCCAATCTCTTCTTCTTCTTCTACGTCACTTGAGAGCCAGTTTGGTATAGTGGTTAAGTGCGTGGCTCTAATCTGGATGAACTGGGTTTGATTCCCCACTCCTCCACTTTCACTTGGCTGGAGGACCTTGGGAAAGCCATAGTTCTGGCACAGCTGTTCTTGAAAAAGAGCAGTTTCTCTCAGAGCTCTCTCAGCCCCACCTACCTCACAGGGTAAGGAGTTTGTAAGCCGCTCTGAGACACCTTTGGGTAGTGAAGGGCGGGGTATAAATCCAATCTCCTCCTCCTCCTCCTCAAGGTCTAAGTTTAAACCCCATCTCCTCCTCCTCCTCCTCCTCCAAATAATTAAAGACATTTTCACACTCAAGAGATCTGTTCTGTTAGTCACGACAAGAGTCCTACGGGCTGCGCAGAATTCCTTTTTCTGTGAAGTAAGCCTTTAAGGGTATTTGGCGTGCAAATGATGTAGCCAGATTTGGCAGTGAGGGGGGGCGGCACTCGTTACTTCATGCTCACAACAAGTGCTCGGAGTGAATGCTCAGTTCTCGACGTGCTCGACGCTGTTTTGCCACCGTCAGCACCGATCTTTCAGCACTTCTCTCCTGCGGTGTTTACTTTTCTCAGCTGGACCGTCATTAGAAAACTTGCCTCCGCCCAGCCTGGTTTAAGACCAGCCTGCAATGGTTTTTCGTTGAAGTACAGTACAGTTTATCACTTTGTGGGGAGGAAAAGAAACAACTCTGTCCCAAACCAAACATTGGTCGGGGTGTTTGCAAATGTAGGGTTGGAGGCATTTCTCTCTCTCTCTCTGCGTCAATGTGTGCTTTTTTGCCTTTTACAAATGTAGTAGTTGAAATGAGGTTAGCAAGTCCACCATCCATAACAAAAGTTGTAAAATTCCCCTCTCCCATGATTTCATGATCTAACTTGGTGGTTTTCCAAGTTTCTTGGTGGTTCCCCCCCCCCCCCCCCCCCCCGTCACTCTGTTACTGAACTCTACAATATTGCAAAGGACGTGGAGGCGGATTTAAAGGTTCACATTGTTAAGTCGCTCACTTAACAAAGTAGTCGGAGAGTGATTCAGCAAAGATTCAGCTTTATTCAGCAACTCAAACACAACTCAAACACAACTCCAACACGGATCAACATCTGATAGCCAGAACAGCTTCTACATTGCAGCTGTCCTGCTTTTAAACTCTCCTGGCTAATATAGCCACGCCTACTGTACAATTACCAACCAATATGGTTGTATGCATAAGAACCAATCACGGACATTCCCGCTCAGGGAGCTTGCTGACAAGTGATTGGTTAGGTGCTTCCTGGGCTAGCAATGTGATTGGATGTATTTGGATCCTAGCCCAGGACGAAGCTTAACAGAGCATTTCAATTAGATGTTTTCATCACACATTATGCATTCAATGGCAGCTTACTGAATACATTACACACATCAATGCTCTCTCTAAGCTGTGGAGTCTTGTGAGCAAAAATCCTACTTTGTGAGCAACTGGCATGAAAGTTGTGAGCGAGCGATTTGGCTCCTGCATAAATTAATTTGGTGTGGGGCCGTCCTTCCTGAGCTGAGACAAAAAATGTGTGAGCCGGAGGCTAAAAAACTGTGAGGTAGCTCACACTCACTCAGAGGGAACACTGGTTCACACCAGGGTTGCCAGCTCGGGGTTGGAAAATACCTGGAGATTTTGAGGGTGGAGCCTGAAGAGGTCAAAGTTCGGGGAGGGGAGGGACTTCCATGGAGTCTAACTCCATAGAGTCCGTTTTCCAGAGCGGCCATTTTTCTCCAGGTGAACTGATCTCTGTTGCCTGGAGATCATTTTTAATAGTGGGAGATCTCCAGCCGGCACCTGGAGCCATTTTTCTCCAGGTGAACTGATCTCTGTTGCCTGGAGATCATTTTTAATAGTGGGAGATTTCCAGCCGGCACCTGGAGCCTGGCAACCCTAGTTCACACCTGGGCTTATGTTAAACCTGGCACCAGAATGGCAAAGCACAGTCCCTGTGGGGCTTTGCGCTCACATATTCATGTGGCTGCTGTGTGTGGATTTTGTTGTTGTTGTTGTTCAGTCGCACAGTCGAGTCCGACTCTTCACGACCCCATGGACCAGCTCCCGCCAGGCCCTCCTGTCTTCCGCCAACCTCTGAAGTTGACTCAATTTCATGTTCGTTGCATCTATGACACTGTCTCACCATCTCATCCTTTGCCGTCCCCTTATTCTTTGACCTTCAATCTTTCCCAGCATCAGGGTCTTCTCCAGTGAGGGCTCCCTTCTCATTTGGTGGCCAAAGTATTTGAGCTTCAGTTTCATTATCTGGCCTTCCAGGGAACAGTCAGGGTTGGTTTCTTTTAGGATTGACTGATTTGATCTCCTTGCAGTCCAAGGGACTCTCAAGAGTCTTCTCCAACCACCATAGTTCAAAAGAATCTATTCTTCGGCACTTCGCCTTCCTTATGGTCCAACTCTCGCAGCCATACATGACTACTGGGAATACCATTGTGGATAGCAGTCCATTTTAAACGAGACACCCCATGTGTGTATGAAGTAGAAGGAAAAGAGAAGAGATTGGATTTATACCCTGCCCTTCACTACCTGAGGGCATCTCAGAGCACCTTACGATCCCCTTTCCCTTCCCCTCCCCACAACAGACACCCTGTGAGGTAGGTGGAGCTGAGAGAGCTCTGAGAGAACTGCCCTTGAGAGAACAACTCTGAAAAAAACTTGTAACTGACCCAAGGCCACACCAGCAGCTGCATGTGGAGGAAGAATGGGGGAATCAAACCCGGTTCTCCCGGATTAGAGCCCGTGCTCCTAACCACTACACCAAACAACAGGAGTGTGCTTTTGCCTTGCCAGGATCGCATTTAAACCAGTCCTTGGTTATCAAAGGGTTACCGTTGGGGTTCCCAAAATGGTGTCCTGGTTGTCATGGCACCCACTGACACCTGGGTGGGGCCAAGTGCGGCTTTTGCCCAGGAAGACTTCTGATTGGGCGTCTGATTTTAAAAAATGTTGCTTTGGCAGCAGCTGCCACTACAGCACAAAGATCTTCCTTAGATAAGCTGCGGCAGCCCTTTTGTGGCTGGCTCCGCCTTTTGTGCCTGGCTCCGCCCACTGAGGTCCCTCCCCCCTCCTGTGGCAGCCATTTTCGTGGCGGCGGCCACTGCACTTAGTCAAAATCCCAAAGGATCAAAAACCCCAGGATCAAAAAGGTTGGGGAGCTGCTGGGTTACAGAACAGGCAGGCTTCCGATCTTCCCGCCTGAGGCCAAAGGCAAGTCTCAGGTCTGCGAAAGGCTGAACATCATGACTTAACATAACATAAGAACATAAGAGACACCAATGTTGGATCAGGCCAAAGGTCCATCCAGTCCAACACTCTGTGTCACACAGTGGCCAAAAACACTAGGTGCCATCAGGAGGTCCACCAGTGGGGCCAGGACACTAGAAGCCCTCCCACTGTTGACCCCCCCTAGCACCAAGAAGACAGAGCATCACTTGCCCCAGAGCCCCTATCTATACCTTGTGGCTAATAGCCACTGCTGGACCTCTGCTCCATATGCTTATCTAATTCCCTTTTGAAGCCGTCCATGCTTGTAGCCGCCGCCACTTCCTGTGGCAGTGAATTCCAAGTGTTAATCACTCTTTGGGTGAAGAAGGACTTCCTTTTATCCGTTCTAACCCGACCGCTCAGCAATTTCATGGAGTGCCCACTTGAGTTCTTGTATTGTGAGAAAGGGGGGAAAGTACCTCTTTCTCTACCTGCTCTATCCCATGCATAATCTTATAAACCTCAATCACGTCACCCCTCAGTCGTCGTTTCTCCAAGCTAAAGAGCCCCAAGCGCTTTAACCTTTCCTCATAGGGAAAGTGTTCCAACCCTTTTATCATTCGAGTTGCCCTTTTCTGCACTTTTCCCAAAGCTATAATAGCCTTTCTAAGGTGTGGTGACCAGAACTGCACACAGTATTCCAAATGAGGTCGCACCATTGATTTATAGAGGGGCATTATGATATTGGCTGATCTGTTTTCAATACTTGAACACCTGTTTCTTTTGCCAGATACCTGTGTCCGGCGGGCTGCTTGAACAACAAGGCGAAAGTGTTCGGGACGTCCTTCTATGAGACTGTGAGTAGACACAGCCGAGGTTTCGGCGAGAAAATCAAATTGTTTGCAGGGGCCAGGAGGTCCCTTGAGGCTTTGCTTTTGTGGCTGTGATTAATGACATCCTGCTCGAAAACATGCTCTTGAATTTGTTGGGTTTAATTGAGTTTAATAGGGGGCCTCTCTGGGGTACGGTCATCAGATCATAGTTCTATCACTAAACTAGGCTTTTCTGGGTAATTAGGAACAGGCTTGCCAAGTTTGAGTTGGGAAATTCCTGGAGATTTTAGGGGTGCAGGCTGGGGGCCAGTGTTCCATCTAAGCTGAGTTAGTGTGAGCTAGGTCACAGTTTTTTTAGCCTCCAGCTCATACCTTCTTTGTCTTCGCTCAGGAAGGATGGGGCTCCAGAGCAAACTTATTTGTGCAGTAGCCAAATCGCTCGCTCACGACTTTAATGCCAGTAGCTTCCAAAGTAGAATTTTTGCTCACAAGACTCCACAGCTTAGAGGGAACATTGCTGGGGGCCATAGGGTTTGGGAAGGGGAGGGGCCTTGGCGGGCTATAGTGCCACAGAGCCCACCTCCCAAGGCAGCCATTTCTGCAGGGGAACTGATCTCCGTGGTCTGGAGATCAGTTGGAATTCTGGGAGGTCTCTAGGTATCACCTGGAGGTTGGTAACCATATTTGGGGATGAAACTCCCGGAAACTTCCTATGCGATTAATCTGTATCTGAATCAGCCAGGGTCAGGGGGTCTTCCGAGGCCCTTTGTCACACCAAGGAACATAACCTAGATGCCAGCCTCCAGGCGGGGGCTGGAGATCTCCTGGAATTGCCGCTGATCGCCAGAATACAGAGATCAGTTCCCTCGGAGAAAGTGGCTGTTCTGGAGGGTGGGCTTTATGGCATTCCACCCCACCGAGGCCCCTCCCCCTCCAAGCCCTGTCTTCCACAGGCTCCACCCCCAAATCTCCAGGCATTTCCCAATGCAGGGTTGGCAACCGTGTACCACCTTCAGGTCTTCTGCACGCCCGTTCTGCTCTTTATTCTGCTGTCATCCCTCGCCATTTGGGTGAGGTCCATAATGCATCCTTCTCATCCACTTCCCGCCCAGTGTTCCCTCTAAGCTGAGTTAGGGTGAGCTGGCTCACAGTTTTTTTAGCCTCCAGCTCACACCTTTTTATCTTAGCTCAGGAAGGGAGGGCTCCAGAGCAAGCTAACTTATGCAGTCGCCAAATGGCTCGCTCACCGCTTTAATGCCCGTCGCTCGCAAAGTAGAATTTTTACTCACGAGACTCCACAGCTTACTTGTGAATTTAAGATCCAACCCAGCTAACCATTTCAGCCATAGTACATCTGGTGTACTGTGGTGGCTCAAGAGGTTAAGACGCTGAACTGCAGGCTGTGGAAGGTCAGTAGTTCAGCAGTTCGAGACCCAGGGTGCCGCATGATGGAGTGAGCTCCCGTCTCTAGTTCCAGCTCCTGCCAACCTAGCAGTTCGAAAGCAAGAAATTGCAAGTAGATAAGTAGGTACCACTTCTGTGGGAAGGGAACAGCGTTCCGTGCGCCTTGGTGTTTAGTCATGCCGGCCACATGACCACGGAAACGTCTTCGGACAGCGCTGGCTCGTCGGCTTGGAAACGGAGATGAGCACCGCAACCCTAGAGTCGGATTCGACTGGCTTTCGAGCAAGGGAACCTTTACCTTTACACCTGGAATATACTGGGATGCAAAGGAAAAGAGAGGTACCACCACTGCTCCCTCTAAGCTTAAAGAGAGCATTGTTCCCACCCCTCATTGGATAAAAGACTGCACGCCACACAGGGGCAGATTTCCCCAAACCTTTGTGAGAGCCCCCAATCCGGAGAGTTTGAGCACTGTGCTTGGCACCTTCTGATGCTTCTCTGAACAGTTCAACCCTGAAGAAATGTGCATGGACACAAAAGCTTATAATTGAAGGGCTTTTTAGGGGGGGGGGAGGTGCCAAAACTCTCAAGAGAGAAATGAAGTTTTCAATCTGTATACTGAAAACCCACGAACTTTTAAACATTTTAAAAAGAATTTTGTCAGAGAGTTTCAGGAACTCCACTCCGCTGCGTTCCCCCAGAAAAAAAACAACCCTAACTTTGTTGGTCTTAAAGGTGCCACTAGACTCAAACTTTGGCTGATTTCGCACTAGAGCTGCCTCGATGTTGCGCCGCCATTTGCCACGATACTATTGGTCAATTTCACACCCAAAGCTGCGGGGCTGCATTTTGACTCGTGGCTTCGCCCGATTTCCCCCGCAGGTTTGTAATCCTGTTTTTTGAGGATCACGAAACTGCGGAGGGAATCGGGCGAAGCCGAGGGTCAAATGCAGCCCCGCGGCTTCGGTGTGAAATTGACCGATAGTATTGGGGCAAACGGCGGCGCAACATCGAGGCAGCTCTAGTGCGAAATCAGCCTTTGTTTGGCTGCTTCAGACCAACAGAGCGACTCACCGGGATCTTACTTTGACTTGGTGGGACAAGTGGTCCCACCAGAGTCCAGCCCACCTTCACCCATTTGCAGCCAGCATCCACCCTGGCTACACCCCTGATTGCTTACTCCAAAATCCGCTCCTGGCCAAATTTAGGGCTGCCAGTCTCCAGGTGGGGCCTGGAGATCTCCCGCTTTTACAACTGGTCTCCAGCTGACAGAGATCAGCTCCCCTGGAGAAAATGGCTGCTTTGAAGGGTGGACTCTATGGCCTTGGACCATGCTGAGGCCCCTCCCCAAACCCCGCCCTCTCCTGGCTCCACCCCCAAAGTCTCCAGGTATTTAACAACCCAGACCTGGTAACCCTGGCCAAATTCCAGGCTCACTGTCTAGGAACATTGTTATGTATTGGGTTACTTGTATTACTTGCAAAGCGTGAGCTTAGGTCACAAGCTCCATAGACTGTGTCAGCATCTGAAACGTCGCAATTGGATTGGTCACTGTTGCGAACAGACCAATCCGGATAGACTCTGACTTTCAGAGGGAACAATTCCCATTGGACCCAAGCTCTCATCGTTCATTGGACCTTATTGTTCCAGGAGGTGTGGTTTCCCTGGTTCAAACTGTATATAGTGGGGTCGTTCTGTGTGTTGTCTGTCTGTGTTCTGAGCTAAGAACATAAGAACATAAGAGATGCCAATGTTGGATCAGGCCAAAGGCCCATCCAGTCCAACACTCTGTGTCACACAGTGGCCAGAAATACCAGGTGCCATCAGGAGGTCCACCAGTGGGGCCAGGACATTAGAAGCCCTCCCACTGTTGACCCCGCCCCCCAAGCACCAAGATGACAGAGCATCACTTGCCCCAGAGTCCCTATCTATACCTTGTGGCTAATAGCCACTGATGGACCTCTGCTCCAGATGCTTATCTAATTCCCTTTTGAAGCCGTCCATGCTTGTAGCCGCCACCACTTCCTGTGGCAGTGAATTCCATGTGTGAATCACTCTTTGGGTGAAGAAGTACTTCCTTTTATCCGTTCTAACCCGACCGCTCAGCAATTTCATGGAGTGCCCACGAGTTCTTGTATTGTGAGAAAGGGAGAAAAGTACCTCTTTCTCTACCTGCTCTTTCCCATGCATAATCTTATAAACCTCGATCATGTCACCCCTCAGTCGTCGTTTCTCCAAGCTAAAGAGCCCCAAGCGCCTTAACCTTTCCTCATAGGGAAAGTGTTCCAACCCTTTTATCATTCGAGTTGCCCTTATCTGCACTTTTTCCAAAGCTATAATATGCTTTTTAAGGTGTGGTGACCAGAATTGCACACAGTATTCCAAATGAGATCGCACCATTGATTTATATAGGGGCATGATGCTATTGGCTGATCTGTTTTCAATACCCTTCCTAATAATCCCCAGCATAGCATTGGCCTTCTTTATTGCAGTCACACACTGTCTCGACATTTTCAGTGAGTTATCTACTATGACTCCAAGATCTCTCTCTTGATCAGTCTCTGCCAGTTCAGACCCCATCAACGTGTATTTATATTTAGGATTTTTGGCTCCAATGTGCATCACCTTGCACTTGGCCACATTGAACCCCATTTGCCATGAAAGAAACCACTTGTTTGGAACGCTGCCTCGATCTCAGTACATCATAAACACCTTCGCCAACCGCCCTGCTAAATGTTCTTTTCTTTTGAACTCCCCTCTCGTAGTCCTCCAGCATATGCCGGGCCGCCATTCATTCTGGGATGCTGGACAACAGGGGAGGCCTGGTCGACATCACCCGGCGGGGCCGAGCCGACTTCTTTGTGAAATCGGCAAGAAATGGCGTCGAATCCTTGAGGTAATTTGCTCGTGGGAAGAATAATCAAAGGCGCATGTGTCCTTTGGAGGTTGCGTGGACTCAGGGGCCAGCCTTGGTCTGCTGCCTGGCCAGTTGGCCTCCCTGCCTGCTGAGCTACTTGGTAATAACTCCAGCTGGGTTGCTGGGCGGACTCGGCGATGATCGGCAAGGATGAAAACTGCGCTTCGACCCCAGCGGAGGCTCCCTTTGAGGAAGTGCCGAGTCATGGTTGTGTGGCTGCTGCGCAGCTGCCGATTGGTCCTTGACATGGTCAGAAGTGTACTTGGATTCTGGACGTAATCTCTTTCTGCCTGTGTTGGGTAATTCTAATGCTACTTTCAGCGCACGTATGGCTGAAAGTGTGACCGAAACTGCATTTATCCAGGGACTCGTCCTCGGTTTCGTTTGTAAAGTGAACACACGTCAGCTCGGTCTTACAAACGGGTGTGGGCACACGTGAGCCAGTTCAGGTTGCCAACCTCCAGGGGGTGGACGGAGACCTCCCGGAATTGCAACTGGTCTCCAGACAACAGAGATCAGTTTGCCTGGAGAAAATGGTTACTCTGGAAGGCAGACTGTCTGGCATGATACCCTGCAGAGGTCCCTCTTCTTCCCAGGCCTCACCCTCACAAGGCTCTACCCCCAAAAGAGAGTCAGTTTGGTGTAGTGGTGAAGTGCGTGGACTCCAGTCTGGGAGAACCGGGTTTGATTCCCCACTCCTCCACTTGCACCTGGCTGGATGACCTTGGGTCAGTCACAGGTTCTCTCAGAGCTGCTTTTTCAAGGACAGTCCTGGAAAGAGCTCTCTCAGCCCCGCCTACCTCCCAGGGTGTCTATTGTGGGGAGGAGAAGGGAAAGGAGATTGTAAGCCACTCTGAGTGAAGGGCGGGGTATAAATCCAATCTCTTCTCTTCTTCTTCAAAATCTCTAGGTATTTCCCGACCCAGACCTGGCAACCCTAGGCTCAGCCTGCGTGGGGTGGTCCTGGGATCTGGGAGACCCACTGCCATGGGAGCTTGCTGGGTGACCTTAGGCTGGTCACCCGCTCTCAGCCTAACCAACTTTGCAAGGTTGATGTGAGGCTACAGTGGAGGAGAGCTGATTGATATAAGCTGCTTTAGGTCGCCCCTGGGGAGAAAGATGGGGGTAAAAAACATACACGCAGGGCATATGCATGCAGAGGGCATAGGCTCTTAAAGATACACAGCAGTTTTCCTAACTGCTATTACCTACAGTTAACTCTGGCTGGGGGCAGCACAATAACATTTGAACAGGGCGAAAGTGCCACTCCTGGGGGGGACACGTGATCCACAGGAACAGCAATGTGCACCAGTCAAAGGTTTCTTTTTGTGTAACACACACAGCAGTGGCTTGGTCCATAGAAACCAGCAGGCGGGGCTTTTTTTTTTTTTTTTTTTAAATTAATATAAAAACCAACATTTAAACAAGAGACATTAATCAAATGTTATACTATGAAACGGTAAACAACCATAGGATTTGATATAAATATGCCCAACACGAAATTACATGTAATGAAACACTGCAACATACTGGGAAGGAACAGCAAATTTAGAAGTGTCGTTGTTAAAAACATATTCTAAAAAAGGAGACCATTTCGTGCATAGAGTAGATTTTGAACATGAACTATTAGTGGAGGAAGCCACTGCATCAGAGAGTTTGTCCATGATGTAAAAGTCCCAAATTTTTAAACGCCAAGAGGAGAGAAGAAGTTTGTTGGTGGATTTCCAGCTACTCGCAATAACCACCTTAGCAGCTATAAGCGGAGTCGAAATAAGGTCTTGGCTACATTTGGGTATATGGGGGGCATTCCATAAATCAAGTAATATTAATTCAGGTTGCAATGGTAGCAGGCGGGGCTTTTCATGACCAAGCACTCGACACGGTCCCATGTTCATTTCTACAGACCCGAGCCGTTGTTACAGGGGCGGGTTCAAATGCTGCCAGACCTCGACTTCCATGGCCAGGCCTTGGCCTTGCAGACCTGCCTGCTACGTCTTTTTTCCTTAACCACGGCTCCTTCTTTTCCTGCTATGGCCCACCAGTATGGTTTTGGAATGCATGTCCTATTTGTACACAGTCTGCTCATTCGTTTCTCCCTCTTTTGTATCTCACAGTAAATTCAAACCTTCGAATTCCTTCGTCCTTTCGAAAGTCACAGGTGAGTCTCTTAATGGGGGCGGGAGGGGTATTCTCCTTCTTGTCACGGGGAAGGGACCATGGCTCAGTGGCAGAGCCTCTGCTTGGCATGCGGATGGTCCCAGGCCATGCTCCCTCTAAGCTGTGGAGTCTTGCGAGCAAAAATTCCACTTTGCGAGCTACCGGCATTAACGTTGTGAGCGAGCGATTTGGCTGCTGCAGAAATTAGCTTGCTCTGGAGCCCTCCTTCCTGAGCTAAGGCAAAAATGTGTGAGCCGGAGGCTAAAAAACTGTGAGCTGGCTCACACTAGGTCAGCTTAGAGGGAACACTGACCCCCGGTTCGATCCCCGGCATCTCCAGTTAAAAGGACCAGGCAGGAAGTGATGTGAAAGACCTTTGCCTGAGACCCTGGAGAGCTGCTGCCAGTCTGAGCAGACGATTCTGACTCTGCTGGGCCCAGGGTCTGATTTGGTATACAGAAGCTTCATGTGTTCATGAGAAGTAGTCGTTCAGAGTTCTTTTAGATGATGTATTTATTTAGATGATTTGTTTGTTTATTTAATGCTTTCAGACACGGGGGATTCTGCAGGGGATGCTTGAAGGGGTGAAGCGTTCCTCTTTTTCGTGTGAACAACCAACATGCTGTAGGGTTAGAACATAAGGACATAAGAGACGCCAATGTTGGATCAGGCCAAAGGCCCATCCAGTCCAACACTCTGTGTCACACAGTGGCCAGAAATACCAGTGCCATCAGGAGGTCCACCAGTGGGGCCAGGACATTAGAAGCCCTCCCACTGTTGACCCCCCCAAGCACCAAGAAAACAGAGCATCACTTGCCCCAGAGTCCCTATCTATACCTTGTGGCTAATAGCCACTGATGGACCTCTGCTCCATATGCTTATCTAATTCCCTCTTATAAGAACATAAGAGAAGCCAATGTTGGATCAGGCCAAAGGCCCATCCAGTCCAACACTCTGTGTCCCACAGTGGCCAGAAATACCAGGGGCCATCAGGAGGTCCACCAGTGGGGCCAGGACATTAGAAGCCCTCCCACTGTTGACCCCCCCCAAGCACCAAGAAGACAGAGCATCACTTGCCTTAGAGTCCCTATCTATACCTTGTGGCTAATAGCCACTGATGGACCTCTGCTCCAGATGTTTATCCAGTTCCCTTTTGAAGCCGTCCCAACCTCCATATTGGGCCTAGAGATCTACCGCTGTATCTCCAGATGACAGAGATCAGTTCCCCTGGAAATAATGGCTGCTTTGGAGGGCGGACCCTATGGTATTAAATCCGATTGAGGCCCCTCCTCTCCCCCAAGTCCCACCCTGTCCAGGCTCTGCCTCCAAGACTAGAGTTGCCAAGTCATTTTTCACCGGGAGCGGGGGGCTCCCGGCCGGCGTCAGTTGCGCACGTGCGTGAAGCATTGGACCGCAGCACAGCTCTTGTGTGAAAGCGGTCCCAGTTTTGAGGACCCCCCCTATAATTAGTAGTATTATATTTTAAATGTTTACATTTAATACAATAAGAAAGAGAATATCAGAAGACTTAGTAATAAATGTTCCCGTTTTTATTGAACATGTGATTTGCTGAGGGTCATTCTGAACTAGTACCCTGCCTTCAAGTCTTTTCTGTTCTCCCCAGCCTGTACCAGAGGTCTACCGGGCTGCGGGCCAGCCCAGTCGACTCCATATTTAGCAATAACGTCTCAGGTGTTCTGTTGTCTGTTTTTTTTAAAAAAAAATTAAAAGAAAAGAAAAACATGTGATTTAATGTCAAAAGTGTAAATTTGAGGCCCCCCGAGAATGAGAGGCCCGGGCCAAATGGCCCTGCTGCCCCCCCCCTTGAGGCCCTGCACAGGACTATACTACCTAGGTTTGCCAGCCTCCAGGTGGGGCCTGGGGATCTTCCACTTTTACAACTGATCTCCGGCTAACAGAGATCAGCTGCCCTGCAGAAGATGGCTACTTTGAAGGGCGGACTCTCTGACATTGTACAATGCTGAGGCCCTTCCCCAAGCCCCGCCCTCTCCTGGCTCCACCCCCAAAGTCTCCAGGTATTTTCCAACCCAGACCTGACAACCCCAATACTACCTGACTCCTGGGTGAGTTTAACCGTTGCCACATTCCGCTTTGGTTTTTCTGCGAGTCTCTATGGATCCTTCTAGTGAAATGGTTTTGGGGCTGAACATCTGTAAAACGGGACTCGGGGTAACCTACCTTGCTGGCCAATTGCATATCAAAATTGCCGTGTTCGTGATGAATAGCAGTGAAGTGCCTAGCGACCCGGCGGGGCTCTTAAAATTGAAGGCATCCAGGTCCAAAATGCGTCCTGCTTTTTTTACTTTGAACTGAAACGATGCTTTCCTGTTGCAGGAGGGGTGGGAAAAAACCTCAAGTGGTTTGTTTTTGCAAGCATATGAAAGAGATAATTTTCATAATTACCAGAAGAGCAGGGCACGGACTCTCGAGAAAGGAACAGGAATGACATTGTTCTGAAATGGACCCATTATCCCAGCCAGATTCAGTTCTGATCCAGGCAAAATATCATTTTTTGCCAGACCTCTCTTAGACCGAACAAAGACATTAGCGTTCAGAAAACCAGCAGAATCAAAGGCCTTTGAAAGTCAGAATTTTGACTTAAAACCTGGCAGGCGGAAGAGCCAGCAAAATGGTAAATGACATTTTCAGGAAAGAAAGGGGCCCCTCAAAACAAGAGGCCGGTTCAAAAAGCCTTGGATGTTTTTTCTTTAAACGAAGGGATCTTCTTGCAATTCAGCAAATTCCCAGAAGGGGAAAAAAACACACACTCCGGCAATTTCTCTATTGTGCAAACAGTTTAAGCTGCATCTGGAAACCGATGTGCAATATCACATGTGGGGAATTAATGGCTGAAGGCTCTGGCCAGGCCTGGTTTAGATATTGGCATTCAGAACCTAACAAAGGTTAGTAAAATGTGAAAAAGAGGGCCAATATTAAAAACTAAATGTAGAAAATATATAGAAAAAGATACATGTATTTATTAATTACAAATTTTAAAACATATATAAGGGCCCATTCACAACAAATATATAAATAACATGGCAATACACACGGGCTTAAAAACCTGACCTGACGCGTTTCGGCCTGCATAGGCCTTCCTCAGAGGTCAAACAATGGAGTGGCAAGATGGCTATATAAATATAATACAATCATGTAGACACAATCAGAATGGTTACAAAATATAAATTCAACATGGACCAGAAAACAAGTTGCTGTAAAAGATAAAAAATAGGAAATTAAACACACATATTTTTTACAACAGGTTAATGAGCTGTAAATCTATATTAAGGTAAAGGTAAAGGTTCCCAAGTGGTTAAGACGCTGAACTGCAGGCTGTGGAAGGTCAGTAGTTCAGCAGTTCAAGACCCGAGTGCCGCAAGACGGGGTGAGCTCCTGTCTCTAGTTCCAGCTCCTGCCAACCTAGCATTTCGAAAGCAAGAAATTGCAAGTAGATAAATAGGTACCACTTCGGTGGGAAGGTAACAGCGTTCCGTGCGCCTTGGTGTTTAGTCATGCCGGCCACATGACCACGGAAACGTCTTCGGACAGCACTGGCTCTTCGGCTTTGAAACGGAGATGAGCACCGCAACCCTAGAGTCGGATTCGACTGGCTTTCGAGCAAGGGAACCTTTACCTTTACCTTTAAAGGTTCCCTTGCTCGAAAGCCAGCTCACTCCGTCATGCGGCACCCAGGTCTCGAACTGCTGAACTACCGACCTTCCACAGCCTGCAGTTCAGCATCTTAACCACTTGAGCCACCGCAGCTCCTAAATCTATATTACCATTTAGTAAATATATACCATAAACTTACTTCAAGAATAAAACCACCAGGCACACAGTAAATATGCCAATGAGATCTTTAAAAGTGCAATCGCTTGCCCGGTGGTTCTAAAGACAAAAAAATGAAAATCAATATATCATACAATTTAAAACCATGCACTTAAGAATGCAGAGGTTTAAGTTAGAAACAGAAAGCTGGTAGGGGCCCCAAGGGCCATCTAGTCCAGCTTCCAGCACAACCCAGGAAATTCACACCTACCTTTCCCCCAATTCCCCCAATGACCCCTGCTCGATGCCCAGAGGAAGGCAAAAAAAACCCCAACCCTCCCGAATCCCTGGGCCAATCTGGCCTGGAGGAAAATTCCTTCCTGACCTCAAAGCCGGGATCCATGGGCATTACCCAGGGCATGTACGAAAGGCCACAAGAGCCAAGCACTGGCTCATCCCTTCCTGCCTTCCCTCTCACCATCTGCCTAGTTAGCTTTCTTATGTTGTTGTTCAGTCGCACAGTCGAGCCCGACTCTTCGCGACCCCATGGACCAGATCACGCCAGGCCTTCCTGTCCTCCACCACCCTCCGAAGTTGGCTCAATTTCATGTTCGTTCGTTGCATCGATGACACTGTCTAACCATCTCATCCTTTGCCGTCCCCGTCTTCTTTGACCTTCAATCTTTCCCAGCATCAGGATCTTCTCCAGTGAGTGCTCCCTTCTCATTGGGTGGCCAAAGTCTTTGAGCTTCAGTTTCATTATCTGGCCTTCCAGGGTTGATTTCTTTTAGGATTGATTGATTTGATCTTCTTGCAGTTCAAGGGACTCTCAAGAGTCTTCTCCAGCACCATAGTTCAAAAGAATCTATTCTTCGGCACTCGGCCTTCCTTATAGTCCAACTCTCGCAGCCATACATGCCTACTGGGAATACCATTGCTTTGACCATGCGGACTTTTGTTGGCAGGGTGATGGTATTAGCTTTCTTATACCAGGTTGCTTCTTCAGTGAGCCGTGACTCACGAAAGCTCCTTCCCTGCCACAAATGTTGTTAGTCTTTAAAATGCTACTGGACTCTTGCTCTTTTCTGCTGCTACAGACAGACTAACACGGCCGCCCATCTTGATCTATACCAAATCATTTAACTCCTAGCCAGAGGTACACCTCACTAATGTGATTGGTTTGTTCTGGGTGTAGTACACAAGTAAATACTATTAGAGAATCTCTGCTTCTGTTTGAAGCTTTTTAGTTAAAGCGTAGCTATTGTGTCCTTAACAAAGTGTCTCCTTCCAACTTGTGGGCCTCGTGGTTGAATCTCCCGTGTCTTTCCACAGTGCAGACTCTGGATTGTTACACCACGGTGGAGGAGCTCTGCCCATTCAAGAAACCAGCGGCTCATTGTCCCAGGTAAATAGTCTTGTCAACTTCAGAGGGCCACCTCTGGAGGAATTTGACCCACAGTTGTGCGATCACACAGTCCTTTGAAGTGGCAAGGTCAGCCCGCCACTGCGTGATCAGACGCAACCGCGGGTGAGTCTTTTTTTGTTGTTGTTGCCGTTTGTTCCTGATGCGCTTAAACGGGGAATCGATGAATCACGTCTCAGCACTGAGGGCTCCCTATGGAGTGTGAGACGATGTGCATAGAGATGTGAAGGCCGGAAAAAACCCCGAAAAAATTCGGAAAGGAACCGGGTTTTTTCCCATTTTTTTCCTGAAGCCTTTTTGTTTTTTTCTGAAAAATTGGAAAAATTGAAAAAAGAAAAAAAAGAAAAAAAATGATTATGGAACGTTTTATTTTAACATGATGGATAAAATATTTTAAGACAAGGTGTTCAAATATTTTCCAAATAATTTCTAAAATATATATATATGGTATCAGATTGATCTAATTTCTGTGCACTGAGGACAAGCAAGTCCTAGGTTACAAACTGAACCCTCCAATGCAAGAACAAGATGCATTTCTTCCTTTAGGAGGTGCGATTGTCAGAAGAAAATAAACAAGTTTCAGTTTTGTTTTTGCATGTGGGTGGGTATTCTGTTTGAAATAATTGTTTGGATACACTATATTTTCAATATGCTAGTTGAGATAATGTGTAAAAATGTCCATAGTCATATTTTATCTTCCTAAAGTAACAGAATGACTTTCAATCTAGAAAAGACAAAATAAATGCTAATGTAGCATTTTTTTTCAATTTTTCCGAACGTTTCCATTTTTTTCCCGAGCTTCAAAATTTCCGGAAATTTTACATCTCTTGATGTGCATACTGAGAGGGAGGGGGAAAATGGCACTGAATCGGGATGTCCATGAGAGAGCGCTGGAGCGATCAGACAGGGGAAAGTCCGTCCGTGGCCTGTAGCAACCCGTTTGCTACCGGACTTTCCCTGGTGTCTTTTTACTCCGCTTCTGTGGCAGAGCAAAACGGGTTGCCAACAGGTGCAGGGCGCTTCCCAGATGTTCATGTCTGATTGCGCCCTTTAAATCTGCCCGGCATTCGTGCCAATGGGACGGCTAATTGTGCGTGTGATTGCGCCCATAGTTTAGTGGTATAGCAGTACTGCATTTAGGGTTCCGAGCTCTGGACTGGGAAATTCCTGGAGATTTTGGGCGTGGATTCTTTATGTATATTTTTATTGTTATATTTGTTTTATTGTTTTAATCCTACCAATAAAATGTTAATGAGAAAAGGTGGTATGATGCCATGGAGTAAGACACAGGGAGGGGGAAACAAACGTGACCCAATACCTGGAATCAAGAACCATAAGGGTAAGAAAGGAGCCCGATAAAGGGCCGGTATTAAAAACCGAGTGTATACTTATTGTATACAAAAATATATGTATTTATTAGCAAGGGTCATGTCATAGAAAAAGAGGTGCAGGAGCTCATTAGCACAACTCATTAGCATAACTTATTTGCATATGCCACACCCCTGACGTGTGTCAGAAGGTGTGCAGGAGCTGATTAACATAACTCATTAGCATAACTTATTTGTATATGCCACACACCCTGATGTGTGTCAGAAGGCAATACCCACCACTCAGGCTCCACTGAACTCTTTTGGATCGCTAGCTATTGGGGGGGGGGAACATGCCGATCTGTCCTCGCAGAGGAGGGAGAGCTTGTACCTGAATAAAACTTGGTCTTAAGGTGCCACTGGACTGTTTTGGGCCGGGGGGGGGGCTCTGCAACTTACCGGGCTGCTTCTTGCTCTGACTGAGGGCTGCTAGGAGTAGGGGGTGGGGCTTGTTGCATGTGCCCGCCCCCTGGGCTCTTTACTGCCAGAGCTCCGCTCCTGTGCGCTCCTGCTGGAGAAGACCCCTGTTTATTAGGAAGACAGTTAAAAACTGTTCCTCTCTAAGGGGCAGAAATGCACCAGGTCACTGGTATTGGCCCTTGCATTCAGATCACTTGCACTTTGTAACGAGGCTTACATTGGGCCCTTATATGTTTTTAACTGCCTTTCTAATAAATGCATGTATTTTTGTATATAATAAGTCTACACTAGGTTTTTAATACTGGCCCTTCATCAGGCTCCTTTCTTACCATAATGCCATGGGGACCAACCTCCCAATCAGCCATTTCCTCCAGGGGAGCTGATCTCTGTCATCCAGAGACTGGTTGTAATTTTGGGAGCTCTCCAGTCACTGTCTGTAGGTTTGCAACCAGTGTTCCCTCTAAGGCGAGTTAGTGTGAGCTAGCTCACAGTTTTTTTAGTCTCCAGCTCACACATTTTCGTCTTAGCTCAGGAAGGATGGCTCCAGAGCAAACTAATTTATGCAGGAGCCAAAATCGCTCGCTCACAACTTTAGTGCCAGTAGCTCACCAAGTAGAATTTTTGCTCACAAGACTCCACAGCTTAGAGGGAGCATTGCTGGCAACCCTACCCTGCATTGGACGAGGAAGATCCTAGGTTCAGTCTCTGGCATCTCAGGTTAAAAGGGAAGATCACAGGCTAGGAAACAACTTTGCTCGGGATGTTAGAGAGCGGGGGAGACAGTCGTAAGCTAGAGAATCTAACCCCTTCCTTGTCTGTGGCTGGTCTGGACTTGAGCCATTTGTGAGTGGCACGGAGACCAGCCATGTTGCGTTTAAATGCAGTGATAAGGCCAGGTTGGACACCAATGCTCCCTCTAAGCTGTGGAGTCTTGTGAGCAAAAATTCTACTTTGTGAGCTACTGGCATTGAAGTTGTGAGCGAGCGATTTGGCTGCTGCATAAATTAGTTTGCTCTGGAGCCATCCTTCCTGGGCTAAGACAAAAATGTGTGAGCTGGAGGCTAAAAAACTGTGAGCTAGCTCACACTGACTCAGCTTAGAGGGAGCACTGTTGGACACATGACCCCACTAGCTGGAGTCTGGTGGGGAGATGGTGAGTGTGTAGGTCTTAGCTCCCCCTCACCTGGCACATCTGCCCAGTTGCCTATGCCATCTGCCGCTGGGGGGGGGGATGGAGAGAGAAACCTTGGTGGGCCGAGTTCAGGCCTTGCCGCCGGTGCTGGGGGGAGGGAGATTTTCCTGCACACTTGGAGCAGTCCCCAGGTGTGCAGAAAAATCTAAAAAGTCGAAAAAACATACGGGGGATAATTAGATCCCCCCAAAAGTAAAATAGCATTCCCTGTGCATGTGCAGAGAATACTCTGGGAACTCTGCGGTGGGCCCGGCAGCTGGGAGGTGCGCAGGCCTCGCCACCAGTGCCTGGGGGGGACATAGGCAGGCTGCCGGAGCCTGGGGGGGAGAAGGCTTACCTGCGGAGCTGCTTCTGCAGGCCGAGAGCCTTTAGGAATACTCCCCACTGCGAGTATCACGGGTCCCGTTTCTTGTGTGTTTGTGTGGCAGGGCTCTTTTTGTAGAAAAAGCCCAGCCGGCACTCATTAGCATAATAGGTCACCCCCAACAGCAGAGACTCATTAGGATTGGCTACATTAGGGGGTGTGGCCTAACATGCAAAGGAGTCCCTGCTACAAAAAAAGGCCCTGGGTTTTGACAACAAACAAGGTAAACAGAATAACAAGCAAAAGGTGGGTGTGGCTGGATAACCACACTTCTGGTAACACGTGGGTGCAGCCTAATGTGCTAATGAGCTGTGCTGTCGGGGGTGTGGCCCAATATGCTAATGAGTTCCTGCTGGGCGTGGCCAACTTGGGAGCCAGCCGGAACTCCGTTCCTGTGTGTTCCTGCCCAAAAATAGCCCTGTGATAGCTAAATTTGTGTCCAGTGGCACTTACAGGCCCAAAAAGTTCAATTCTGTGTATAAGCGAGCATCTATAAAACCGACATACCTTGGAAGGAAGCCCCCCTCAGTTCAGCTCACCTTTGCAAAATGGGCCATTGCGTGAGGAGTACAGGGATTAAGGTCTTTTGTATGAAAAATTAATATCCATCCTGTGATTTTTCTTAGGTCCTACTGTCCAGCTTACTGCAAAGAAGAGCCTTCCTACTGGGCACCGGTGTACGGCACAAATGTTTACGCGGATGTGAGTAATCATCTCTCTTTCCTGCTTGGCAATATGGGTCATGCCAGGATAGTGCCATTTTAGGAGACTGCATCTCTCCAAGGCTTTTCTGAATTACACAAGCAAGTGGGCATCTCCTGCAACCTGGCTGCGCATGATATGAATCCCGTTTATGTGTTTTATAATTGTTTTATACAGAATCAGAGTAAGGTTTATTGTATGTGGCCACTGGCCGTCACAATTCCATTTAAAGCTGGATCCCTAATATCTTAAAGTACACATTTAGTCAGCAGCCAGGAAAGCCAGCGCAAAGGCGGTTCTTAGGAGCGCAGCTTACTGAGATGAAAGGCATTAACATTGTTACAATTGGAATAATTGTTTTATACATATTGTTTTTATTGTGGGTTTTTTAAAAAAATCATTGTTTTGTTGATATTGTAAGCCGCCTCGAATTCTGCAAGGCAGAAAGGCAGCTAATAAATATTTTACACAAATAAAATAGACAAAAGAAGGGCTATATTTGGGCAAGAATGCACAGGAACGGAGTTTCGGCTGGCTTCAGAGTTGGCCACACTAGGGTTGCCAAATCTGGATCGTCCGGGAGCGGGGGGCTCCCGGACGATCCCGGGCGTGTGTACGCGCGCGTAGTGCGCGCGCGCGCAGCGTGCACGTCACCCGGAAGTGACGTCGCACGCTGGGGGCGGGGCCACGCGATTTGACGGGAAAACAAAACTCTTTGTTTTCCCCTCAAATCGCGTGGCCCCGCCCCCAGCATGCGACGTCACTTCCGGGTGACGCGCACGCGCAATTCCCTGCCCCCCGGCTGCATTTGGCAGCCCTGGGCCACACCCACTGCAGCCAAAACCTCTGCGTGCGTGGCTACAGAGGGAAGGCCTGGAGAGTGACCCCCCCTGGCAAATCTGAGGTGGATGGGCCAGGGGGGTCCTGGAAGGATCAGGGAGGCATTTAAATACCTCCTCGTGCCTTCCCCAGCCTGTCCAAGGGCCGGCTTGCCCGGGCAAGCCAAGGGAAGGCATGGGGGTGTGGCCTAATGTGCTAACAAGCTGTGCTGTCAGGGGTGTGGCCTAATATGCTAATGGTTTTGCTGTTGGGTGTGGCCAATAATGAGTTCCTGCTGGGCTTTTTCTACAAAAAAAAGCCCTGGACACAAGTAAATCTGATGGCTGCAAATTCTGAAGGTGGCCCCAAAGATAGGTGAAATAAGCTGGAAGGGGTCTTAAGAGCCGTTTTGCTGCCCAATTTGTATCTATTCTTAGCTTGTCTATCTCTCCTTCGGCACCTTATTGTCCGTCCCCCTGCCAGTTCTTAGGGGAATATTGGCCCACAGAAGAGGAAGAAGCAAGGCAAAGATCCCCGCCAGTTTTCTCTGCCTCTCTGCCCCCCCCCCCCCCCCTTTCTCTTTTTTTTCTTGTCCAGGGCAGTTTCAGAATTCTCAACAATTTCTCAAGGATACTTTTAATGCAAGCACCTTAACATAGAGTTAGGCTCTTCCAATGGAAAATCCTTCGTTTAGCCTAAGGGAACCATTGGATCCAGCCCAGGGAAAACGAGCGATCACATGACACCTTCCATTCTGTGGGATACAGTGAGCGGACTTTGCCCTTGTGAAGGGGTCCTAGCCAATTTCCTCATAAGGGGATGAAGGAGTTTTCCCCCTTTCCCCAAGCTCATTTGCCTTGGAAAGATTTTTTGACCTTCTCTGTCTGGCTGGCTTCCAGGACTGTAGGGTTTTGTTGCATTTGGAATATCACTAAGTGCAACTCAACAGCCTGGGAGCTTTTGGAACAGGTCTTGAATAAAGGAAGTGAGACGGGATATCGGTAAAACCGACTTACCATTGAGACATGGCTCTGTAGGAGGGAGGAACCGATGTTTGCAGGGGACGTGGCTTACAGCTCTGCAGAGCTTTGCTTCTAGAACCCTCTTGGTGTGCTTTTGTCTGTAAGGAATCAGGAGGTCTTTTCTGGGCTGGGGCGCGTGGAGGCATCTTGCATCCTTTCCAACAAAACCAGAAGCTATTTTAGCTTGCCCAGGGCCGAGGGCTTGGGAAAGGTACGTTTTGTAAGAAAAGAGGTCGAGAAAGCATTGGAAATACTCCAAAGAGCCCTCGAAGCCAAGACGCTTTGTAATCAGTGGCAGAATAACGAGACCGCAAACATGCCCAAGCTTTTAAAACATGCTGGGTGAACCGGAGAAGGCCAAGGCGGCAGAGGCGGATCATCAAAGCCAGATGGCCTGCGGCTTGACATGAGATTGGTTTCCAGAGCTGAAGCGCCACTTGGCAACCCGGCAGGGAGCACGGCGTGGTCAGCGACTTCTGAGATAGCCTGGGGAATGGAGGGAAGAAGACAGAAGCCCACTGGAACACGCATACCACCCAAGCGCCTTCATGCACTGTGCATCTTCTCTGGTTTGGCTTTCGTAGAGAAGGAAAAGCCCAGCTGTAAAACAAGAGACGTTCCACCGAAAAGCAGAGGCAAACTCCATCACGGTCACTAAATGTCACGTTGTTATAGAAATGTCAGTGCGCTGGGTTGCCAACCTGCAGGTGTGGCCTGCCTTCATGCACTGCGCATCTTCTCTTGGTTTGGCTTTTGTAGGGAAGGAAAAGCCCAGCTGTAAAAGAAGAGACGTTCGACCGAAAAGCAGAGGCGAACTCCATCACGGTCACTAAATGTCACGTTGTTATAGAAATGTCAGTGCGCTGGGTTGCCAACCTGCAGGTGTGGCTTGCAGGTCTCCTGGAATTCCAGCTCATCTCCAGACGATGGAGACCAGTTCCCCTGGAGAAAATGGCTGCTTTGGAGGGTGGACCGTATGGCGCTCTACCCCACTGAGCTAGGGTTGCCAGGTCTCCTACCTGTTTCCAATGCGGGGGAGAAGCTCCGTGTCTGGGAGTTTCATACGCATGCCACGATGACATCACCCGGAAGGGACATCATCACGCTAGGCACGTCACCAGGAGACGCTCTAGCAATTGGCATGAAAACTCTATGGCGCCATAGAGTTTTCAGGCTGAATGCTATTGCGTCCCCTGGCGACGTGCTCGGCGCGATGACATCATCTCCAGGTGATGCCATTGCACCAGGCACATCGACCTGATCGAGGCACTTTGGGGGCCGGGTTCCCCCCGCTGGCTGGATCCGGGCCAGTGTGTCTGGGGCCCCTAGAGCAGACAAACCCCTGCCTCCCCGGGGGATATGGCAGCCCTACACTGAATTCACCGCCTTTCCCAGGCTCCACCCCCCAAATCTCCAGGAACTTCCCAATCTGGAGTTGGCAACCCTAGTAGAGGTTTTCTGCCTTGAAAAGGGCAGTTCGGTGCTTTTTAGTTCCCCGCCGGCCGCTTTCGGAAGACAGGCATCGAGCTCCTTGAGAAGTCACAGGACGCTGTAAAATGACCAGTGGAGAAGTAAAGGTCAGGAATGAAAGGCGCGATCCACTGGCTCCTGTAGTGGAACAAAACCTTCAGCGCTCTGGTGCCCCTGGTTCTTTTCAACCTCTTAGAAAGAGGCCAGCAAACTGTCTGAGTCAGAATTCCGGCAGGCACTAAAGGCTCCTGCTGGGAATCCAGAATCAAACAAGGGAGCAACGAGGCAGGAACGTGGGTCAATTTCATTTGTCACTTGGAACACCGGAGCTCTTACTTTCCCCCCAACAACGGTGAGCGGGTATCACTAAGCCTTTGATACAGAAGCCTTTGATACAGAAGTATGGCCTGAGCTGTGGATACTGATTGTAAACGGACAGATCTCCAAACCTGGGGGAGCCTCCAGGTTTGCAGAAAAATCTGAAAATTAAAAAAAAATATGGAGAAGGGGGTTTAAATTCGTACCCCAAAAGAGTGTTGTCTGCATGAGTGCAAACAATGATCCAACACTCGTGAATGCCATGAAACTTCAGTAGGGTCGGGTGCTATCCCCGTCGGGGGTGAACTGCAGGCGGGGGTGGGGCTGCAGGATAGACTCCCCCCCCAGATCCTCATGGGACCCCACTTGTTTTTAAAAATTCCCTTCATATTGACCTGCAGTAGCTCCTTGACTCCGTGAAGCTCCAGTACAATTCTTCACTGCTTTCTATTTGAAAGAAGGAGAAGAAGAGGAGGAGGAGGAGGAGGAGGAGGAGATTGGATTTATTCCCGGCCCTTCACTCGGAGTCTCAGAGAGGCTTACAAACTCCTTTCCCTTCCCCTCCCCACAACAGACACCCTGTGAGGTAGGAGGGGCTGAGAGAGCTCTCCTGAGAAGTGCCCTTTCAAGGACAGCTCTTGTCAGAACTATGGCTTGCCCAAGGTCATCCAGCAGCTGCAAGTGGAGGAGTGGGGAATCAAACCTGGTTCTCCCAGATTAGAGTCCGCGCGCTTAACCACGACACCAAACTGACCCTAACCTTTGTTAGCGACGGCATTGGCTCGTCCTTGTCCGTTGCCTCCCTGAAGCGCTAATTTTCTTTAAGCGAGGGAGTTTTTCTTTCTTTTTCATGCAAAGGGATGTTCAAAACTGGGATCCATTTGCGCATCCAGGCATCCTCCACCCTCTTTCAGCCCCTCCTCTGTCTCGACAGTTCTTCTGCAAGTGGTTCTTTTCCCAAATCTCGCCATTTATTCCAAGGCAAGTTTTCAGGTGTCGTAAAGTTCAAAAGTTTTCAGTGTGAAACTTAACGCTGGTCAACAGCGACTGCTTGGCTCAAAAACCACTCAAGTCTCGTTCAAAGTGATGCAGTGCAAAGCAAAGCAGTGCAAATGTGCATATGTTCAGCTGCAGCCCGAAGGTTGCCAAATCTGACTTGTGAAATTCCTGGAGCTTTGGGGGTGTGGCCTACGGAAGGCGGAGTTTGGGAAAGGGGAGGAGCTTGGTGGGGATGTGATGCCGTAAAGTCTACCATCTGAAGCTGCCATTTCCTGTAGGGGAACTAATCTCTGCCGTCCAGTTGTAGTTCGGGTTGCCAATCTCCAGCTGTGGCCTGGAAACCTCCCAGAATTATCTCTCTAGTCTTCAGATTACA